TGGTGCTGCCAATTGGCCCAGTGATGAAAATCTTTGTCTTGTTGATGTTAAGCTTCGGTTTAAATTGAAGATGGTGGTCCTTGAACTCCTGCAGCAAATATTGTGTCATTTGTTTTATGTCTAAGAAATTGAATGACTTTAGGATTTTGAGGGTTTTTTAAAAAAAAAAAACAAACCATCTCTATAATCTTGGTTTCTTCATCTGCAAAGTTGTGTGTTGTTATGGTATAGTAATTACTTCATAATACCTTAAGGTTGATCATGAAAATTATATCAGTAGGTTTCAACCAATCCTAAATAGCAGTACTTTATCTAAATTAACATTTTTCTAGGTATTAAGCAAATAATTAGGGAGCTCTGGTGGCCTACTTGCAAGAAGCTGTGCCACAATCCTGAAGGCACGTGGTTCGAGGCCACAAGCTGCTCTGCAGAGAATGGGCACTCTCCTCCCGTGTGATTAACTGCCTCTGAAAACCCACTGGAGAGTTTCCTATGGGTTGGTTCCAATTCTAAGATACAACAAGAAGCAAATAATTTATCTAGATAGTAAAGTGCTATTGTTGTTGTTAGGTGCCGTCAATGAATCTAACTCCTAGTCACCCTTTGAACAACAGATCTGATCCCGGTCCTATCCTCATCCTCATCATTTCTGATATACTTGGGCCCACTGTAGGGGTCATTGTCAATCCATCTGGTCTTCCTCTCTTTAGCTGACACTCTACCTTTCCAAGTATGATGTCCCTCTCCAAGGAATAGCCTCTCCTAGCAACATGTCCAAAGTATATAGACAAAGCTTTGTCATCTTTACCTCCAAAAAGCAAAGTCAATGCTAGTTCCTATAAATTCTAGAATTCATAACTTTACTTTGGATTGATCTATTTTTAAGAACACGGTGATTATAAACAGGGATCCTACAGAAGAATCAAAGTTTTGTGGAGGAGGGCAGTAGGGATGGCTATTTCTATGGGAAGGGCTATGTTTATTTCTTTCCACAGAGCCCTCCCCAGCTTTAGGTCACCTGATGGGAGCAGGCCTATAGGAAATACAAGAATAATGCTTTTATGAAAAATTTTGTCTATTTTCCTTTCCTTGAGCTAGTAATTTTTTTTTCTTCTGAATGGCTATTTTCATCATACCTTGATGATCATACGGTAAAACTATTTGTAGATTTATTAGTAAAATAGTTTTAGCCACATCCCAATTTTCAAAGGCTTAACATGTAAAGAACATTGCTCGTTAGCAAAGACCACTTTGATTAAATGATCCAGTTTTTAATATTTACTCATTAAAATGTGCTCAGAAAACAGAGCTTTAGTAAAAGTTTAATACATAGTATTAAAGATAAATAAACTTGAAACACAATATTTTAGTTAGGTAGCATAAGTAATTTTATATGCAGTTTATAAAACAAGACTGTTGTATTCTTTTTCCTGATGTATAAAATATATATAATATTAACTACCTCACATCTCTATACTTGTGTCTGATACTAGCTGTCGTTTGTGTTACTGTTGTTGTTCTTGTCATTGTTAATGCTTTATCTCTCTTGCTCAGATATCTTTTAACATAAAAATATTAAATATAATCTTCACTCCTTAGAATTGAGAATTGTACACTATTTCTTACAATTCCTTTGGAACTACAAAATTTGAAGACCACAGGTCCTAAAATCTCTGATCACTTGAAAAGTTCCCATTGGGGAAGCAAGCTCACTTTTAAATAAAGATCTAAGAACCTTCTTCACGAGCATATCTGGAAGGTAAGTGGGAGGCAGTAGTCATCTGCTCTTCATCTCTACCTTCAGGATTTGGAGAAGTCTCTCTCGAATCTGCTTGGTGCGGACAGCATAGACAATAGGATTGAGGATTGGAGGGATGAGAAGATAGAAGTTAGCCAGCAGCGTGTGTACTGGAGGAGATACATGGTGACCAAATCGGTGAATAAGAGAAGAAACAGCAATGGGTACATAAAAAATCAGGATGGCACAGATGTGAGAACCACATGTCCCTAGGGTTTTAAGCCTGGCCTCAGGGGTGGCAAGCCCCATCACAGCCCTGAAAATCATTACATAGGAGGCAGCGATGGCTGCTGAGTCCAGAAGCAACACCAGAAAGCCAATGCTCAATCCATATACATTGTTAACCCTGCTGTCACCACATGTCAAAGTAACTACTGCCATATGCTCACAGTAGGAGTGGGAGATTATCCGGGACTTGTAAAGGGGCAGCCGAAGGCGAATCATCAGAGGCAGAGGTGCAATGTAGAGTACCCCACGGAGAAGAGCAGCCAGTCCCAGACGAGCCACCAGCGCACTGGTGAGCACTGTATTGTGATGTAATGGGTCACAGATAGCCACATAGCGGTCAAAAGCCATGGCAAGAAAAATGCCTGACTCAACAGTGGCAAAGCAGTGGATGAGGAACATTTGGGCCAAGCAGGAATCCAGTCCAATATCTCCAGCACCAAACCAAAAGATTCCCAGCAATTTAGGCATAGTAGAAGTGGACAGAACCAAATCAATGACGGCCAGCATACCCAGAAAGAAATACATGGGCTGGTGCAGGCTACGCTCCACCCTTACCACTGCCAGGATGGTCACATTCCCCACCACAGCCACTATGTACATGGAGCCAAAGGGGATGGAGAGCCAGATATGCAAGAACTCCAACCCTGGGATGCCAATGAGCTGAAAGGAGCTGGGTGTCCAGCAGACATTATGAAAAGTGAGCATGGCTATTTCCAATAATGTAAATGGATATGTCCCCAGGTGCAGCAGAACTCTTTTTCTCTCTGGAAGTGAAAGAAAAGCATATTTTTACTCTTAGGCCCTATAATAAAGAACAAGATTTTTTGTTTGTTTGTTTACCTAAAGAGTTTGTTCTTATTTTTTTCCTTTTCCATTTACAATTTTTTTAATTATTATTAAATTTTATTAGTTTTCATGAGGTTTTGGATTTCCATTCATTCATTGCAGCACTTT